CTCTATCTCTCTCTCTTCTCTCTTCTCTCTCTCTCTCTCTCTCTCTCTCTCTCTCTCTCCGTTCGTTTCCACGCTCGTTTGCCGGAAAATTGCAAATCGACGATTTTTCGTGGGAGCCGCGCGATCCGCGCGCGAATTTCCCTTTCGTGAACTTATCGCGACCTTTCCGCGGGTCGTGGGACCGGGTACCACCCAGCGGTTACGCTAATGCATGCCGTTTCTAATGCGCTCTGATATGTGCACCAGGAAACCGCGGGCCAGGACAGATACACCTTGACGTAATCCGATCGCGCAATCGCGCCTCGTTTCAACCGGCCGGTTTGTCTGTCTGTCTGTCTGTCTGTCTGTCTGTCTGTCTATCTATCGGCGGTCTTTTTCTCCTTATTTCCGCGAATGCCGCGATCCTTACCGCACGTACGGCCCGGAATTGCGGGATCGGTCCAGTTTCACAACGGCACGAAAAACACCGAAAACCTTTTATCCTACGGCAAATCAGTCCGCGGTAAATCGTTTCGCGTAGCTTGTTAACTGAATACTCTGATAAAGTATCGTGTACCGTGTTTTTCAATTGCCCGCAGATACCAACTGCTGCACTCGTCGGTGCGCCGACTATTTTTGTTATGCAGATGAAACACAAATCGATCTAGAGAGAGCAGAATGCGATCTAAAAATAGATTAGAGACTAAATCAGATAGAATGTTGAAATAATTATTATTTTCCAGATCTTATTTATATTTTGAATTAATTACTTTTATAAAATTTTTAATTTGAAATTTATTTGCCAAGATATCGAAAGTATTGAAAGTACACGGAGAAAACACTTACTGATAAATTTAAAAATTTGACCAGATCTGAAAATAACTTTGTCGGACCGTCAAAATTATTATGGAGAACGCTTAAATATAATAATAATACTGTCAAAATTTTTCTTCTACCAACCAATTCATTGTACACAATAATTTTAAAGGCTTAACAAAATTATTTGATCTGTATCTGGCTAAATTTTTAGGTTTTCTAGCAAAAGTGTTCTTTCCGTGTGAGTAAAGATCAATTTTTTAAAAGAATTTTTAAAGCTATTAAAAAAAGATATTAGAA